ACAGGTATTCTGGTCTGTAATCTTTCCAGAAGCATCGAACGGGCGAACGTCCGACTTCCATTCAGAGCCATTCATCTCGCATGCCGTCTTCTGCTTGTTAAAAAAAAGATAAAAGCCAAATCCACTGCCATTGAGTCCATTCTGATTCATGGTGTCCATAAGGTACAGGTATTCTGGTCTGTAATCTTTCCAGAAGCAGACCAACAAGCTTTCCTTCCATGATGCCACTGGGTGGACCCTCAGAAACCCTACACTGGCTCACTATGAGTCGGAATCAACTCAGGTACTTAACAGCAACATGACCTCCTGGTGTGGTGCGGTAGGATCAGCCCTGGACTGCAAACCACAGTGTCAACAGTTCAAACCCATCAGCTGCTGCTCAGAAACTCTAGACAGGGTCACTATGAGTCAGAACCGACTAGATGGCACTTAACGACCTATAGGCTAGAGAGCATGGTGGCTCCATAGGATAAGCACTGTACTTCAAACACAAGGTTAGCAATTCAAGCCCACCAGAGGCTCCATGAGAAAAAGGTAAGACTTTCTGCTCCGGCAAAGATTTAAAGCCTCAGAAACGCTCTACCAGGTTGCTGAGTCAGAACCAACTCGACAGCACATAACAACAGCAGCAATCTATAGGGTAATAGTTAAGAGTAAAGCATTTGTGCTACCCAGGGACTTTTTTAGCAAAATTTAACACATTTAAATTTTGATCAGTTATTTTTTCATTCCCAGTCAATATCTGAATCCTAGAGCAAGGAGCCTGTAAGAAGCAGAAACTCTTTTTCATTGGTGCCTTCTGTTGTCAAGTGCAACACTGTACTTCTAGTACCATAAGTTAATTTTTTTTTTTAATGTCTTATTGTGAGTTATGTGATAGTTTACTTGGGAGAATATTAGCTTTACATTCATCCTATCGTATATCATTTCATTGCCATGGTTACAATCCCTCCATGCATCATCAAACAACCAAAGGGTATACCCTGCAAGCCTGCCCCTCCAGTCGTCAGCACACAGACCCTCTCCCTCTCTGGGTCTAGAGTCTCCAGCCACTCCATTTCTCCACGTC